AATACATGTTAGCACATGGTTCTTGTGCTTGTTGTGATGTTGAAACATTCATGTGTCTCATTGCTCTATCATCTATATAAATTCCCTCTGGTGTACACCATATCTGTATTTTTAATTTACATATGGCATCCCTACCTAACAAATTTACAGGTGTGTGTTCTGAGACTAATATTGGTATTCTAATTTCAGTGTTTTTCAGGCTTATGCTCACAGGGGCTGTCATAGGAAGTAGCTGAGTTGTTCCCGAGAATCCTACTGTCTTTATATATTTTCCAGACATGGGGAGGTGCGAAGCATATCTTGGATTCAAACATGAGTAAGTTGCCCCTGTGTCGAGCATGAGAGAAATAGGTTTTCCTTCGATATTGGCTTGCAGCATTGGTTCTTGATCAGCATCACATGATATTATTGGAAGCTGTTTCCTCCCTGTAAGATTCTCTGGGCAGCCCTAGTAACCTTGGTCAGGTCCACGCCATGGGTTGACAGGACCTTGGGTTTGTGGTTGCACTTGCTGTTGTCCATAGTTGAATCCTGAGGCCATTGGTTGGTTCTGCTGCCAAGGATTAATGGGGCAATCTCTTTTGGTGTGTCCATGCTGATTGCATCCCCAACAGACTCCTGGTAGGCCACCAACTTGTTGCTGATTATTATTCAATCTTCCTCTGCCACACCCTTGTTGTTGTCTGTTCCAGCCTCTGTTGTTTGGCTGCTCTGGCTTGAGATAGATGACAACTGGTGCTGTTCCTTGTGGTGCAGTGACTGTTCCAGCAGGTAGTGTTTGTTCTGTTGCAATCTGATTTGTTGGTGCAGGCAAATTCATTGTTGCAGGTGGATTAACAAACACTTCAGTGCTGACTGGTGCCATCACTGCTGAGTGATCTTCCTTCTGGACTGCTTGACCAATTTCTTTGTTCTCTCTGCCCACTTCCCTGAGAGCTCTCTTATTACTTCCTTACAGGCTGGATTTTGAAAGGCTAAAAATTCTACTGGAGTTGACATCTTTGAAATTTGAGATATCAATCTGTTCAACACAATCAACTATTATTATTTATTGTCCCTTCAGTAATTTACCTCTCTAATCCCAGCGTTTCTAATTACTAGCTAATTTTCACCAGGCTCATCAGACGAGGATCACTAAAAGTATCCGACCCCTGATTTTCACCTGGATTTTTGCTGGGCGGAGGACTTTTCACCTTTTATAAAAGCTGTTTAGATTGTCTCAAATATTTCAAAATAATCACAATGTGTTTTCTAGTTAACAATTTAAAGGGTAACACAAGGCCTTCTATTTCTTCCTTCTGGATATTGCTGTTTGTCCAAATGATGTTTTCTCCCAAGCTGAATGCCTCAAAACTCCATAGTCTTCTCAAATGAAAGTGACAGCCTGTCGCTGTAATTCCCCCTGCCCAAGTTGAGTAGGTGAGAGATGATGTTAATTTTATACAACACTCTTCCATTTTATATACAACAATGTTTAAATCATCCTTTGTACAATATTTTAAATTAAGTGGTTCCAGGTAATCAATCAATAATCTTTTCTCTTGTATTGTTAAAATTTGTTTGCCTCGCTTGCCTCTTCTTTTCCTCTTTCTATTTACATTTATCTCATCTGCCATTTTTATTTTATTTTAACTAATTTATTTAAGCAGTGTTCTCAGTGTGCTGAACTGTAAGTCCTGGGCCCCTTTTCTTTATTTTATTTTATTTTTACTTTCTCTGCTCACCATCCATAATGGCATATATTTGTGGTACACCTCTCAGCTCAATTGTCACCAACAAACGTCTCACTGTCCTACTAGGTATAATCACTGGCATAATGTTTCCCTTTTCATCTAATTTAACTATCACTTTAGATGTCCAGTCCACTTCTCGTGTGACAACTGTCAGTGAGAGGCATATGTTGTCAAGGATTGCAGCTACTGTGGTATCCTTTATCCACTGACCTGCCAGATTCCTCCTACCATAGGGTGCCACAATTCGACCAACTGGGATTTCAATTACATTAGAGGCAGCTTCTGTTGGGGAAAATGTTGGGGCACAAAGGTTCACTAGTTGATCTGTCAATTGTCGAACTGGTATGTTATTATAAACAATATTTTCCCAAGGTATTGTTGGCCATTCCTCTGTTATGTCCCTTAAATTTATAATGCTAATCAATTTTCTAAGAAGACTGTTCTTCTTGTAATCTGTCAATCTTTGTACCTGCCCTTTCCTGTCAACAAAATCTGATTCCAACCAAAAATGATTACAGATGCCTCTTGTATTTCTCAAAGTCTTCAAAAATTCTTGATATTCTTTCACACTTCTCCATTCACTTTGGTGTTCATAATTTGCATCAAAACTGAACTCGTCTTGTACATCGAATATGCTCATTTTGTTCTTTTTCAGGATCAGGACAGGCACAAAGATAAACTGTCTATTTTCTCTGCTTTCTTCCCTATCTCAGCCTTCACTTTTATCAACGTTTACTCACACACATACACTTTCTCTTTGTTTAGTCACACACACGCACAAATCAGATCAACATACAAGTTCTCACTCTCTCATGTGCACACACACGCATTCAGGCACACATATGCATACTCTTTCTCACTCACATACACACACCTTTCTTTATCTTTATCAATAATTCAGTTTCACAATTTGGATCACAACGGCGGCAACTTGGACGGTGTCCAAACAGCCGACAGAGCCAATTTCTGGGAATATTTTTTGTTTTTTCAACTCTTACAATTCCCTCAATACTTACAAGTCTCTCAATATAATCTTTATTGTTCATTTAGTGTATTTGTTTTTTACTGTATTGCTTTTTCATTCCAGTTAAATCAAAGCGCATTTACATAGAACATATATGTCACACACACATTCAGCTTTCCACACAGCGCAAAGCAGCCAACACAGTTAATGATTCAGCCAAAACATTCAATGCTTCAATGTTTCCCACACTTTGACGCACATACAAATATTTTTACAACAGGTAATGGACAAACAAAGACTAACAGTCTAACTCTATTTAGTCTGCAGACACCTGCTTCAGCCGCCCTTCCCTCATAAGCACCCCTCAAAGCCACGTCCCACTTTCTCTGGACGGCTCTTTGATTCCTGGGCTTGCTTATTTTGGGAAGTCCCTGAACAGGTTTTTAGTGTCCCTTCTCGACACTTGTGTACACAACTTAATACTCTGATCAAAGCAACCCCTCCCTCATAAGCACCCCTCAAGGCCATGCTCCACCGTCTGAGCGGCTCCTTAATTCCTGGGCTTGCTTAATTTGGGAAGTCCTCCCTCATAAGTACCCCTCAAGAGCCACGCTCCCTCTTTTCTGAATGGTTCTCTTGATTCCTGGGCTTACTTATTTTGGGAGGTCTCGACCCAGTATGTGCCCCTTCTCAAATGGCACAGCACGGTCTTCTTATTTACAACTTATATACAAAAGCTTTTTACTACTCTAAAGCATGTGAATCTTTTGACATCTGGAACCTCTCAATTCCACTTTTATTTTACTTAATTTAGTTCAAATCTTAGATTCATTTATTGGTGAAGCCCTGTCTCAGATTACCATCACAGGTGTGACCCTAGTCAACCACACAAACAGTCTTATTTCCAATTTAGGCAAAATATTGCCTACCTTGTTTTTTCGGGGCACCCCTTTTAGAGATCTGTTTGTATGGTCGTCCAGGTACCCCACCCACGATGGTCCTCGTGGACGTTGGACTCCAGGCCAATCCTGTTCGTGACGCCAATCTGTTGTGGATTTTTTCTTGGGTGCGGCCAATGAAGTGGAGAAGCAGAGTTCCAGATGTCAAAATAAGACTTTATTTAACAAAGAAATAAAGCCGGGAAGACAGTCACAGCATTCCAAATCATTCCAAAGTCTTTGTTTGTCAACTCATATTATATACCCCTTGTTCTCTCCAAATTTGGTCATTTTCTGTTTTTTCTTTGTTCCGGTTATTTTTTATTGGTTATAGATACCTGATTTGCCACAATTGTTTCCTTTTTTAAAAAGGCTTTTATTTCATTGGTTGGTAGTGTGGTCATACGAGATGTGTGTCAAATTTATCTACTTGCTTTTGTTTTGCCACCTTCCATTGGTTGGTAGTGTGGTCATACGAGATGTGCCCGTCACATCCATCCACCTGCTCCTGATAATATTAGATTATTTCATGTTTACGTCTACTGTCTACTGAAAGGTCCATTGTCTAATGAAAGAAAAGACCATTATACGTGTTCCTAATAATGTTACATTATTTCAAGTTCACAGGTGTACTTTGTAATGAAAGGTTCACTGTCTAATGAAAAGACTATTATTCATTCTATGACATCCAGGGTTAACATAATTCAGCATATTAATTTATATATTGATTACTTTCATTTTCACATAATACTTCAATAAAATTACACAATACTCTCTGCCCTCAGCGGCCCTGGAGAGGAGGAGGGCGAGCCTCCTGAGCAGCCGGTCGCCGGGCCCGAGGAGCAGCCGGTCGTCAGGCCTCCGAAGAAAGACCGCGGCGAGCCGTCGCGCTCCTTTCAGACGGCCTACCCTTTCCCGGACCACGTGGCGGCACTAAGTAAGTATTACACTTGTCGCTTCTTACCCGTACTCTGTGCCCTAGACCCGGCTCACCTGGTCCTTCTTGTGTGTTTTCTTTTCGCAGATCAGGTCATCGAGGAGTTCCGGGGGCACCACGAGGGCGCCGAACCCTCGCCCAAACTAATAAATAACGTGTCCTCGAAGGTCTTCCGGATCAAAAACTTTGTTGCCTACATGTCTTTTGGCCAGACTGACCTGGCCAGCATGACATTTTTAAACAACGCGGCAAAGATGCGGTCCTGGCTCTCGTTTCTAAGACGAGCAAAAATAACTGAGCCTACAATTCACCACTACCTGAAGAATGTGGCTCAGTTTCTACAGTTTGTCAACGAAACCCCTCCGCCCACATGCCGGCTCTCCCGCGTCTCCTTGTTTGGCCTCAGAAGGGAGATCCAGTCCATCATCCGCCCGGTAAGGCGCAGCGTGGCGGTCCACCAGGTGGCTGTGAAACAGGCCAAGGAGGGCCGCCTTATTTCCAAAGCCACGCTGCGTGCTTGCCGGGAGGCAGCCAAGAAGAGGATCCCTGAGATTTTGAGTAAGTTCTCGACTCCTCTTGCCTCTCGTACTTTGGCATCCCACGTGCCCCTTAACACTTCTCTTTTTTTCTGTGCAGATCGCCTCGAGACAGCAGTGGAGAAGAAAGACCAGTGGTCTTTTTATGGGCACCTCACCGCGTATTGGGCCAGTATTTATGGACACCGCGGTGGGGTGTTCCAGAACCTTACCATTAAGGAGGTGGAGGACTCCAGGAAGACCGTAACTGAGGACAAATTTGTCATCAACGTGAGTGGTTCTCTCTCTTACTCTCTCTCCCTCTCTGTGTCTCTGCATGGTTTTCTCTTTAAAAAATAATAAATAAATCGCTTCTCACTGTTTATGCAGATATCGGCCCACAAGACCAACCAGGCCTTCGGTCCCGCCCAGCTGGCCCTTGACCAGGAAGAATATGGGTGGCTTCAGCAGTTTCTTTCACTGAGGTCCACCTTGGTGGGTGGCAAAAACGCCCACTACTTTTTTTTCACATCCAAACTCAGCTCCTGCAAGAACCTCAATCAGTATTTTCAGGAGGCTTGGAGATCGATGGGCTTGCCTGGGACGCCCACGTTCACCGATTTGAGAACCTCCATCGCTACCCACGTAAGTGTTCCTGCGCATATTTCTGCTGTGTGCATTTCTTACTTGTGTGTGTGAGTGTGTGTTTACTTCTAACTCTTTGCCTATGCTTTCCTCTCTCTGAACAGCCGAAGAACACCCACTGCCCAGAGAACAGGCACAAAGTGGCACAGTTTATGTGCCATGACACCTCCATGGCTGACAGGTTCTACGCTTTGAACCTCGATGCAAAGCAGGCGGCGGAGCACCGCCACCTGTTTGAGGCAGCCTTGGAAGGTAAGGATGGGGCGCCAGAGCCTGGGACGCCAAAGCGCCCCGCTAAACCGCGCAAGCGGCCGGCCAGCCAGTCCCCCTCCGCCAGCCTGTTGTCCTCTGCCAGCCCTCCCCATGGTGAAGCAAGCCCAGAGTCCAGGGAGTCTGCTTCGGTATGTTCAGTTTCTCCTGGAACAAAGTGGCACAGTTTATGTGCCATGACACCTCCATGGCTGACAGGTTCTACGCTTTGAACCTCGATGCAAAGCAGGCGGCGGAGCACCGCCACCTGTTTGAGGCAGCCTTGGAAGGTAAGGATGGGGCGCCAGAGCCTGGGACGCCAAAGCGCCCCGCTAAACCGCGCAAGCGGCCGGCCAGCCAGTCCCCCTCCGCCAGCCTGTTGTCCTCTGCCAGCCCTCCCCATGGTGAAGCAAGCCCAGAGTCCAGGGAGTCTGCTTCGGTATGTTCAGTCTCTCATGGATTGGTTCAACTGTTTGTGACAAGTAGGCATGTTCACTAACTCTTTGCTTTTCTCACTATTTCCAGGAGAGAGACCCAGAAACCCCAGAAATAAAGAGGCGCCTCAACCCGAAGAAGACCTTGGGACAAAAGTTTTCACCGTTTGTGCGGCTCTCCCCACTTAAATCGCCACCGCAACAACAGGCTGCGCAAAAACACTTGGGACTGGCAAGAAGGAGACTGAGGGTCTCTCAAAAGCCCCTTTTGTAAATTGTTTGTTTTGACTTCCTGTGCTTGATGTTTGCATTTTGTTTTGTCTGTTGTTTTGAACGATTCGTGTTCTAGTTTGGTTAACTGACTTGTTTCGAACAGTTTGTGTTCTAGTTTGGTTGACTTACGTTGTTCATATAAAGATTTGAAAACTTCCTTTTGTCTCGTTTTTTGGGCTAAAACATAAATTGCATGTGGTAGAGGTGTGCGTAACCCATTTATTCAATGGGATTTCAATTTATTTAATTGGTCGGAAGGAATATTGTCCAAAAACCACTAAAAGCCATCCCCATTTATTAAATTGCAAATGGACACACATACCACTCCCCATTTATTGAATGGGATCGGTTTAATAGGTTGGTGGACAATCATCCCACTTGCCTATTATAGCGATCCCACTCAATAAATTGCAAATGGACGCACATCCCACTCCCCATTTATTGAACGGGATCGGTTTAATAGCTTAGTGGACAATCATCCCACTAGCCTATTACAGAGATCCCATTCAATAAATTGCAAATGGACACACATCCCACTCCCCATTTATTGAATGGGATCGGTTTAATAGGTTGGTGGACAATCATCCCACTTGCCTATTACAGCGATCCCATTCAATAAATTGCAAATGGACACACATTCCACTCCCCATTTATTGAATGGGATCGGTTTAATAGGTTGGTGGACAATCATCCCACTTGCCTATTATAGCGATCCCATTCAATAAATTGCAGATGGACACACATCCCACTCCCCATTTATTGAATGGGATCGGTTTGATAGGTTGGTGGACAATCATCCCACTTGCCTATTATAGCGATCCCATTCAATAAATTGCAGATGGACACACATCCCACTCCCCATTTATTGAATGGGATCGGTTTGATAGGTTGGTGGACAATCATCCCACTTGCCTATTATAGCGATCCCATTCAATAAATTGCAGATGGACACACATCCCACTCCCCATTTATTGAATGGGATCGGTTTGATAGGTTGGTGGACAATCATCCCACTTGCCTATTATAGCGATCCCATTCAATAAATTGCAGATGGACACACATCCCACTCCCCATTTATTGAATGGGATCGGTTTGATAGGTTGGTGGACAATCATCCCACTTGCCTATTATAGCGATCCCATTCAATAAATTGCAGATGGACACACATCCCACTCCCCATTTATTGAATGGGATCGGTTTGATAGGTTGGTGGACAATCATCCCACTTGCCTATTATAGCGATCCCATTCAATAAATTGCAGATGGACACACATCCCACTCCCCATTTATTGAATGGGATCGGTTTGATAGGTTGGTGGACAATCATCCCACTTGCCTATTATAGCGATCCCATTCAATAAATTGCAGATGGACACACATCCCACTCCCCATTTATTGAAGGGGATCGGATTAATAGGTTAGTGGACAATCATCCCACTTGCCTATTGTAGCGATCCCATTCAATAAATTGCAAATGGACACACATCCCACTCCCCATTTATTGAACGGGATCGGTTTAATAGCTTAGTGGACAATCATCCCACTAGCCTATTACAGAGATCCCATTCAATAAATTGCAAATGGACACACATCCCACTCCCCATTTATTGAACGGGATCGGTTTAATAGCTTAGTGGACAATCATCCCACTAGCCTATTACAGAGATCCCACGATCCCATTTAATAAATTGCAAATGGACACACATCCCACTCCCCATTTATTGAATGGGATCGGTTTAATAGGTTGGTGGACAATCATCCCAATTGCCTATTATAGCGATCCCATTCAATAAATTGCAGATGGACACACATCCCACTCCCCATTTATTGAATGGGATCGGTTTAATAGGTTAATGGACAATCATCCCACTTGCCTATTATAGCGATCCCATTCAATAAATTGCAGATGGACACACATCCCACTCCCCATTTATTGAATGGGATCGGTTTAATAGGTTAATGGACAATCATCCCACTTGCCTATTATAGCGATCCCATTCAATAAATTGCAGATGGACACACATCCCACTCCCCATTTATTGAATGGGATCGGTTTAATAGGTTAATGGACAATCATCCCACTTGCCTATTATAGCGATCCCATTCAATAAATTGCAGATGGACACACATCCCACTCCCCATTTATTGAATGGGATCGGTTTAATAGGTTAATGGACAATCATCCCACTTGCCTATTATAGCGATCCCATTCAATAAATTGCAGATGGACACACATCCCACTCCCCATTTATTGAATGGGATCGGTTTAATAGGTTAATGGACAATCATCCCACTTGCCTATTATAGCGATCCCATTCAATAAATTGCAGATGGACACACATCCCACTCCCCATTTATTGAATGGGATCGGTTTAATAGGTTAATGGACAATCATCCCACTTGCCTATTATAGCGATCCCATTCAATAAATTGAAGATGGACACACATTCCACTCCCAATTTATTGAATGGGATCGGTTTAATAGGTTAATGTACAATCATCGAGAGAGAGAGAGGGAGAGAGGGACAGCACGAAAAGGCCAATGCAAGTATTTACGGCGTTAACAGGCTGCGATTATAGTAATTATATGTTCTATGCACGGTCTGCTTGAGGAGTACAAACAGTTTGCGGAGTGTAGACCAGACACCTGTTATCTCGGTCGCAAATGGCGAGGTGTGTCTAATTGTTGGCCCGGGGGCGGGGCAGTGGTCAGCAGTGGTCAGCGGGGGTCCAGGGGTCATTCCGGCGCTCCAATGGGCGAATGGACAAATAGTGGGTTCGTGGGATGAAAAAGTGTCCACCCCCCATATGGGTGAAGGCCACTGTCGTAATCCTGGGGTGGGACGTCCGTGCGCCACCCTGTGGGGAAAGGCTGAACTGCTCTTGGGGGTCAAAAACTTAGGCGGGCTCCCGTCGGGCCCCTGGGGTGGTCAGGGACCCCGAAGCCGGCCAGGGTCGGTCGGCCGCCCGTCGAGGGTCGCCGGGCGCATGCGGCCCACCCGCCAAATATTTTGGGGGGCCGGCGCGCAGGGTCCGCGAACCCATGTATGCGAGCCATCGAACATATGACAGCGTGTACCCGGTCCAAAGTTGATGGACTACCGGGAGAAAGCTAAACTACTTTGTTTGGCCTTCCAAAAGAGGACGGTATCTGCTTCGTCATGCCTTGAGCTGATCCGTGCTGGTTGCTGAGGAAATACTACAACTTTGCACTGTGGATCGCCGGATCGGCTTTAACCGTGGACGAAGCGGAGTCCAGCCCGGAGTCGTTACATGTCCTTCCGGACATCCTGATCCTGGGAGAGTAGAGTAGAGTAGTCTCCAATGACGGCTGTTCTGACTGTAAGTATGTTTTTTATATTTAAAGAGTTTTTATATTTTATATATTTAAAGTGAGTTTTTTTGGGCAGTGTAGAGTAGGGCTTGTTGTTTGTCATTTCTCCGATCACAAATGCAGACATGGTTTTATGTTTATGCGGTGCGATGCAATGCAATGCGTAAAAAGACAGTATAAGTCATTATAATCCATAATTATGTCCCCACTGGATGCAACGAATGCCTCGTTTATAATGGGTTTTCATGTTTTTGAATCATCGCTCTGTGACAGGGCATCATCACAATATGGTAAGGGCGTAACATTTCCATCACACGCTTGAGGTATTCGGCCAATCACAACGCACTGGATAGCTGGCCAATCACAGCACACCTCGCTTTTTTAGAATGATGAGCTTTGTAAAAATCGACGCGTTTCAGAAAGGCGGGGCATAGAGGATAAACAATAATGTACAGTATGTAGAAAATAATGTGTTTTTTTTAGGGATGCACGATATATCGGCCACCATAATGCTAATTTTTTCTGTTATCGGTATCGGCCTGATAAGAAAATTTGGCCGATATCTTAAAGCCGATAAATAATGCATTATTTCCTTCAGAGACACTTCAGATGCGCGCTGTTTGTTTGCAGCCTTTTGTGCAATTGTACGTTGTAATATTGTGTTTATTTGATGTATATCTGATTTATCTCATATAGAATGCGTTTGGTTAAGTTAAAAGAGCGCTTCAGTTTACCGGTGATCGTCTTTAGCTCAGCGCACGCAGCTCAAACAGCAGTGCACAACATTAATAACTATGATTGGGAATGTCGTGTATATAACATTCTAATGAGAACATTATTATAATAAAACGTTGTACATTCTTTGGGTTTAGTTGCCGTATTTCAGCGCGTTGTTATGGGAAGAGCGCATCCACAACAGGATCACACATTCTGACTATAGCACGCAATAACTGCATCATTTTGTACATATATAAGTTGTAATATTATGTTTATGTTGTATTAATATTAATCTCAGGATGCATTTCCTTGAGTTAAATAAGCTGCCAGCAAAACGCTTCAGTTTACCGTGTTCATTCAGCTCTTCAGCTTCAGCATGCGCAGCTCAATGGCTGCTATTTAAAACAGTGGTATTAATTTGTTACTTTTTCAAAATCATTGATACATTATTAATAACAACAACCACTTGTATTTTTCTCTTATTATTTTCATCAACAATATGGTTTAGTAATTAAAATCATTTAATTATTGTCCGTGCAGAGGCTATTCCGTTTTATTGATCTGTGGCTTCATATATTAGTTTCTGTGAAGATATGTGTATTCCTACCTGGACATTATTATAATTTAATAATGCTAAACCATGGTTTACTGGGAAACTCAAACAGTTTGTCACGCCAAAGAGGATGTTTACAGAAGTGGGGATAAAATATTGTATAACCAGGCCAGGAACAGACTAACAAAGGAGATCAGAGTGGCTAAAAAAACTATTCTGAAAAGCTGAGAAAAGAGCTTTCAGCCAATGATCCGGCGTAAGTATGGACTGGTCTGAGGAACATCACCATATACAAGACACCAGCCCCACACTCTGTGGAGAATCAACAACTGGCTGACAATCTGAATGTGTTTTACTGGCGATTTGAAAAGGCCAGTCTACCACCCCCCCCATCCGC